TATATATATATATATATATATATATATATATATATTTGCCAGTCCTGGCCTTGAACTCAGGGCATGGGCACTGTGTTTCTTTGGCTCGAGGCCAGCACTCTACCACTAAGCCCACTAAGCCACATTCCCAGCCCATATATATATATATATATATATGTATATATCTTTATTTATGTAGATTGTCAGTATTAGGTTTTGAACTCAAGGCCTTCTACTTACTAAGCAAGTGCTCTACTACTTGAGATACACATTCAGCTCTTTCTTTCTCTTTTTTTTCTTTTTCTTTCTTTCTCTCTTTCTTTTTTCTTTCTTTCTTTCTGTCAGTCGGGCTTAAACTCAGGGCCTGGACTCTATCCCTGAGCTTTTCTACTCTAGGCTAATGCTCTACCACTTTGAGCCACAGTTCCACTTGCAGTTTGGGGGAAGTACATTGGAGATAAAGGGTCTCAAGGACATTCCTGCCTGGGCTGGCTTTGAACCGTCATCCTCAGGTCTCAGCCTCCTGAGTAGCTAGGATTACAGGTGTGAGCCACCAGAGCTCAGCTTCTATTTTGCTTTTTAAAGTTATTTTTCAGAGAGAATCTCCCATGTATGTCTAGGCTGCCTTCAGACCACAATCCTGTACTATGCCTTCCTCAGTTCTGGAATTGTGTGTGGACCACGGCCAGCCACAACTGTGTCTTTGGAATGACCAATTCCTCCACTGACCAGGGCTGGCCAAACAAGCCCCCATCTCTGCTGTTGCCTGACACCTCAACCCTCCACCAAGCAACTCTGCCTTCAACTGTCATGGTAAGGGTCCCTCTGCCACAATGGTAAATATAGACAGAGTGGTTTGAGTATGGCGCTGATGGCTCACACTTGTAACCCGAGCTACTCAAGGCTGAGATCTGAGGATCGTGCTTTTAAGCCAGCCTGGGCGATGTATCTCACTTTTTAGAGGAACTGGAAATATAAAGAGGCCAAACCCCTTGGAGCTGTCTTGAACCTTGAGTCTCACCGTTCTCAAGCTAGAACTACCCTGGGCTGCCAGGCCCGAGCTCACCACCCTTGCCCCAAATGCCCCAGGTCTGGGACTTGGGTCCCCCCCCACCCGCCCCACAACACCCTTCGTGGCCCTCCCTCCCTGGACTTTCACTTCTCCTCTGCGTTTCCCCCAGCCAGTTTTAGCAGACTCAGGCCAGCTTCTCGTTAGCACTTACCGAAAATGGGGCTAAATATAGAGGGCCCAAGGACTGCCCCTCACCCCTTCTGGCCCCACTTGGCCTGTCCCTTGGGTCCTCTGCCTCCACAGCCTGCCTCCATCAAGAGCCAGGAGCCCCTGTGGGCAGGGCTGGTGCTGCTGGGAAGCTCGGTGGGGGCAGCTGGCCCAGCCCCTGGCCTCCCCAGCAACAGCACCTCACACGCCCTCAGCCTCCCCAGCTGTTCCCATGGCCTCACGGCCTCACGGGAATGAGCACTTCTTAGCGATCAGGAGGGAAGGATGGAAGTATGGGCAGCAGCAACCACACGAGAGGTGGCCCTGGCTGTGCTGATGACAGGCAAGAGATGCTATACAGTGACCATATCACAGCTACAGCCACAGCCTGCATACATGAGACATCACACACACACACACACACACAGAGCCAGCACACATGAGACATCACACACACATGAGACACAGCACACACATACACACACAGCCAGCACACATGAGACACAGCACACATACACACACAGCCAGCACACATGAGACACAGCATACACACACACACAGCCAGCACACGAGACACAGCACACACACACACACACACAGCACACATACACACACAGCCAGCACACATGAGACACAGCATACACACACACACAGCCAGCACACGAGACACAGCACACACACACACACACACAGCCAACACACATGAGACACAGCACACACACACATACACAGCCAGCACACATGAGACACAGCACACACACACACACAGCCAGCACACATGAGACACAGCACACACACACACACACACACACAGCCAACACACATGAGACACAGCACACACACACATACACAGCCAGCACACATGAGACACAGCACACACACACACACAGCCAGCACACATGAGACACAGCACACACACACACAGCCAGCACACATGAGACACAGAACACACACACATGCACAGCCAGCACACGAGACACAGCACACACACACATGCACAGCCAGCACACAAGACACAGCACACACACACACACACACAGCCAGCACACATGAGACCAAGCACACACACACACACACAGCCAGCACACATGAGACACAGCACACACACACACACACACAGCCAGCACACAAGACACAGCACACACACACACACAGCCAGCACACATGAGACACAGCACACACACACACACACACACAGCCAGCACACATGAGACACAGCACACACACACATGCACAGCCAGCACACATGAGACACAGCACACACACACACAGCCAGCACACATGAGACACAGCACACACACACACACAGCCAGCACACATGAGACACAGCACACACACACACACATAGCACACACACACATGCACAGCCAGCACACCTGAGACACAGCACACACACACGCACACAGCCAGCACACAAGACACAGCACACACATACACACACAGCCAGCACACATGACACAACACACATACACACAAGCCAACACACATGAGACACAGCACACACATATACACATACACAGCCAGCACACGAGACACAGCACACACATATACACACAGCCAGCACACATGAGACACAGCATACATACACAGCCAGCACACATGAGACACAACATACACACACATGCCAACACGCATGAGACACCGCACACACACATGCACAGCCAGCACACATGAGACACAGCACACACATGCCAACACACATGAGACACAGCGCACACACATGCACAGCCAGCACACATGAGACACAGCATACACACACAGCCAGCACACATGAGACACAACACACACAAGCCAACACACGAGATACAGCGCACACACACGCACAGCCAGCACACATGAGACACAGCACACATACACACACAGCCAGCACACATGAGACATAACACACACATGCACAGCCAGCACACATGAGACACAGCACACACACACACAGCCAGCACACACGAGACACAGGCACACACAAGAGACCAGGAAGAAATGTGCATGGGTCTGCAGATGCTCAAGTGGGATGCCATGGGGAGGTATGAAAACACACACCCAGATGTGTGCACACATGCCTGTGCTTACACACTCACAGCCAGAGTCACACACTCAGACATGCACATACGCACTCTGAGTCATACACACACATGCACACAATGACCAGGGAAGACCCCTAAGACGGTTCATTCATGTGGAGCCTGAGACCGGGCATGGCAAGTGATCCGCCCAAGGTCGCACAAATTAGTTGGTGTCCTCACAATGTATTGATTCGCATCTATACCACATATTGATCCATGGTCCATCAGGGAAAACACACACCAGTCCTCCCAGGTAGGGCTGTTGAGTGAGAAACCCCAAGTCAAGGATCCACCCTCCTTCCTGCTACCCATGAGCTCTCCCCTGACCTCAGCCAAGCTAGCAGAGGAGCAGACACCAAATGTGTGCAGACACCCTGATCTCCTGTCTGTGCTGTTTATAGAGACCCACACACGTATACACAGCTGCCTCAAGGAGTGATCACATACCACCCTGCAGCGCCTTCATCCCCACCACCTTCACATTCCAGCTCAGACACCCCTTCCTCCAGGAAGCCCCCCCCGGCATCACACTAGCTGAACTGGATGTCTTATGGGTGCCCACAATCCCTGGAGCCCCTCTCAGCCCATCTCTGAGCACTCTGGAGATCACTGGTGACAGGTCTGCCTTCTCCATAGAACTTGGGGTGCCAGAAGGACAGACCTAAAGTTGCATTTCTCAGTCATCTTTCCATACCCCGCACAGAACTGCACAGTAACCACACATTGCTGAAGGACTGCAGGGGCGCTGCTGCCCACTGGTTGCATACACAGGACGCACCCCAAGCCAGGACTCACACTCAGACACCTCCCCACAGTCATGCCTGATAGCCACAGACGAAGCAGAAATGGAGTACTAAGTGCTTGCATGTGCTGATACTTGGCTAAGCATGTAACACAGGTATGTTCATTGACATTGCTGAGGGCTAATGCTCCCTAGAAACAGAGACACACATTCTACTCAACGAGACAACAAACATGTCACCTTGTCCCATGCTGGGCACCTAGCATTCACTCAGCCAATGGACATGTGGTGGAGGCTACATGGAACAAACTTACAAACAAACATAATGAAATTTCAGCCAGGTGTTGGTGGCTCACACTTGGAATCCTAGCTACTCAGGAGGCTGAGATCTGAGGATTGTGGTTCAAAGCCAGCCTGGGCAGGAAGGTCCATGAGGCTCTTATCTCCAATAAACTACTTCCCCAAAAGCTGGAAGTAGAGCAGTGGCTCAAGTGGTAGAGCACCAGCCTTGAGCAAAAAGAAGCTTAGACACCTGAGTTCAGGCCCCAGAACCAACAAAAAATAAAGAAAGAAAGAAATAGAAAGAAATTCCAGACAGTAATAAATGGCAAGAAAAAAAAAGATAGAACAGAGTGGGGGGACCAAGAGGGACAGGATAAATGCTAGCTCGCATGGGAACGTCATGGAAGATCTACCTAAGGAGACGACACTGAGGTAAACAAAGGCAGCCAAGAAGTCACTGCCATCCCTACAGTACCACACACGACAGATCCCGAACTGGCTTCTACCCAAGCACACAACAGCCACTCAGAGGATGCAGAGTGACTGCACACATATACACACGTGCACATACACACCATACACAGATACACATGTGCACACCACACACACACACACACACACACACACACACTCAAAAGAAGAATGATAGCACTCAGGCTCAGCAACTTGGTCTTCTAAGCCCTTGGCACCTCTCTGAAGGATGATCCATGTTGTCTGGTGCACAGTTCTCCACCTAATGTCCTGCCTGGTTCCCTCCCTCCCTCCCTGCCCGCAACCCCTGGGAACAGGGCAGCGACACGGGGAGACAGGTTGGAAACTTCTAGTGCCTGATGTGAAAGGGAGCAAGGATGAGGGCAAGGTGGGGCGGTGTGGGAGAAGGGGTGTTTCTGAAGCAAGGTGCTGAAGGACAAGGGAGACAGCTGAGCATGAGGGGCAGGGAAGGCTGGCAGGAGGGGCCAGCGGAGCAAACCCCAATGTGCTGCCTGTCTACACCCCACCACAGGTGCACAGGCACCAGCCCCTTACCTGGAGCCCCCATGCTGGAGTGAACCATGCTGCCAGCCCCGCCAGGGCTGGGGAACAACTGTGTCATCTCCCCGCCCTCTCTGAGGGGGCCAGCCCTCCCTGCCGGAAGTCACTCAAGGAGGAAACCACAGAGCTGGTCCTCCCCCCTTCGGAAATACTCCAGCCCACAGACCAGCCCCAGCAGCAGAGGGGACCCCAGATCAGGCAGGTGTGTTAGAGTTGGGGGGCTAGTGGGATAGAAGACAAGCAGGCTTGAAGAGGTGACTCCTGCAACCACCCCACACCTCCACCAGGAGGTGCCAGCAGCTGTGACCGTGGCTGTCTCCCTGCCACCCTGTGGGCACACATGCCTGGACCGGAGCACTGGATCTGGGAGAGAAGGTGGGCCCGAACGGTAGCAATAGCCATGAAACACTGGCTGGCAGGTTTATCGGGGAGAGCTTTCCCATCACGAGCAGGGCCACTCACACTTCACAGGTGTCTTGTTGAAAAGCAAGCATTGTTATTTCCTCCACTTTACACATGAAAAGACAAGAGGATGGGAAGTGGAAAGAGTGATTTTTCTCAAAGACCCAGAGCCAAGAAGCACTGCAGCCAAAAGAAGCAGGAGCAGAGGGAGAGGATCAAGCCTTGCACCTGTCTGCAATGTAGGTAAGGTGTCTCCCGCCAACGCTGGAAGGGAAAATAGCACCTGTAGGCAGTGGCAGTACGGGAGAGGGTCGGATCTCTGGCCTGGGACGGTGAGCAACGTGCCAGAGGGTGAACTGGGCGCCCCCATGGCGGGTGTGGAGTCCTCTGGTTGCTAGCGGGAGTGGGGGGGGGGGCCTGCGCGCAGCGGCGCTCCTCCACTGGCACTTCCCTCGGTGCTCGCCAGAGGGCAGCAACGCTCAGCTGACGGGCCGGAGGGCGGGGCCCCTCCCTCGGCGCCCCTCCCCTCCCGCCCCTCCTCCCCCGCCCCCGGCGCACACCTGCGAGGGTCACACAAAGGCGCGCGGGCGCACGGTGCCCGCAAACAAAGGCACGCCCAAGCCTGCTGCCCTCCGAACACCGCTCCTTGTGGGCCCTGGGGCTGCAGAACGCTGTGGTCCCCCGCACCGAGGGGCCCTCCAAGCACGCGTGTGCGCACGGATGTGTAGGTTCGCACACGCACTCGGCTGCCTCTGCACAGGGACCCCAGCACGTCGCCCAGTGACACACACGACGACGCCCGCCGGCACAGACCCCCTCCCTGCCCCCTTAGGTGGACCCCTGGGCACGAACGCCATTTGCACCTATTGCCCGCCCAGGCCTGGCCGAGCGTGCCCAGCGGCGCGTGTGTGTCCACCTGCGCAGAACATTCCAGGCAAACATGACACGAGTCCTCGCGTCCACCTGTGGGCCACCATGCGCTGCAGACACACCCCGGGAGGCAGGGGGGCCAGACACGAATGAACCCTGTGTTTTGTGGGGGCAACCCCGAGTTATGTGGAGCCCTAGACGCGCGGCTGCACTCCAGGACAGGGCTGTGTTGCGGTGGCCGCTTCACTGATGACCTCTGCGGGCCGCAGGACCACGCACACCAGGCGTTCTGTGGCACCCCGGTGGCAGTGGCTTCATGTCCTGAAGAAGCGGCATGTGCCCAGTAAGCTCTTGCTTTTTATTTAGGATTTCTGTTTCCCGGGTTTGGAAAGAGGGGTCAGAGGACATGGAGAGGAGGCAGAACCAGGCTGCTGCCCCCTCTCCACCCCAGCCCATTGGCATCACCCACCGGGAGAACATACTTTGGCTATGACTTCAGACCAGCCTCTGAAGGGAAACAAGAGGGGATCGCCCAGTCGACTGGTGAAATGCCCCTGCTCTGACCCTGTCCCTCCCTGGCCTGCCTCAGACCAGGTGAAGCGATGGGGGAAGGAGAATGGGCCTGTAGGAGAAAGCATGGTGGGGCGCAGGGTGGGCCGGGCCTGACAGCTGGGAATGGATGGGCCCAGGCCGAGGCTGATGGAGGCCTCTCTGCCAAAGGGGCCTGGAGCCAGGCTGAGCAAACCAGGTAGGGCCCAGGTTTTGGGGGAGCAGTGGGGGCCACTCCAGGTGTATGGGGGGCTGCCAGGAGGCGGCACAGGGGAGGCCAGGCTGGGCTCAGGGCTGAGCGGTAATTAAAGGAGACGTAGGGGGCTCCCCAGGGCCAGCGGGGCTGGTAACTGACACGCGGGCCCCATTGCTCCGCTCATATTTCTCGCCAGATCGATACGTTTGACTCCCGACAAGACAATAATCGCTTGTACGCGGCCGGCGAGTCGATCAAATACATTATTAGAGCGAGGTCCCCTGGGGGCCCGCCGGGGAGTAGTGGGGGGGGGAGCAGCCAGCCCACCGGGGACAGTAGAGCAAGATTCTTTACCCCTCAAGCCCCCACCCACCCTGGCCTCTTCCCCAGGGCCACCCCCAGGGACCTTCTCCACGGCTCACCACCCCAGTCTTTCCCAGGACTCCTGGGGCAACACAGCTGCAGCCCTATCGCTGCCCCATCGGGTCCTTCTGGGTGCTGCCCTCATCTGTGGGAGCTCAGAGAGGGCCCTCAGGCCTCTAGCCTGGGGGAGATGGGGAGACACAGCCAACCCAAGTCTGTGTCTGGGCCAGGAGGTGAAATTGGACCCAAGATTCCTAAGCACCCATCTTCCCCCCACTGCCCTCCCCCACCTTCTGCACCTTAGCTGTCGGCAGAGCCCAGGGCAAGGTAGCCTTAGGTTGGGGGGAGAAAAGCTGGCCTAGGGACCTAACTAAGCAGAAAAGCAGGAGGGTGCTAGGGATGGTAGACAAGCACACAGATGTGTGGTTGGTCGTGCCACAAACTATGCAGTCCCCCAAGCCCTCACATGCTTTATTTGTTTGTTTGTTTGCTGTGGGTCCTGGGGCTGGAATTCAGGATATGGGTGCTATCTCTGAGCTTTTTTTTTTTCTCAAGGCCAGCACTCTATCACTTGAGCCCCAGCATCACTTCTGGCTTAGTTATTTTCTTATTTTGGTAGATAAGAGTCTCATGGACGTTCCTACCCAGGCTGGCTTTGAACCAGAATCCTCAGATGCCAGCCTCCTGAGTAGCTAGGATTATAAGCATGAGCCACTGGCACCCAGCTTCAAGTACCTTTTTAGCCAAGGCCAGGCTCAGCCCTAGCTGACCTAGGACATGGCTGGCCTGCTTCTTAACCACTTCCCAAACTCAAACCTATCTTTGTTCCCATGCCACTGCCTCCCCGCTCCTGGGGACTTCAACAGCCCTGAGTCAAAGTCAAATTCTATTGAGAAACAGTCAATGGTCAAGGACTTTCAAAACTTCCTCCTCCTCCTCCTCTTCCTCTTCTTCCTTGTCCCCCTCCTCCTCCTTTTCCTCTGTAGTGGTAGTAGCAGCAGAAGCAGCAGTAACACATCACCATATGTTCTGTGGCAGGGTTTGTTATTCCATTTTACTGATGATTTGATGTTCAGAGAGGTAAAGTCACCTGCCCCAAGTTGCACAGCATGTGAGTAGTGGAGTCAGGATTTAAATCCAGTTCTGTCCTCTCCACAGCTTACTCTGTGTCTACACTGCCATGGGCCTCCCTTTCCGGGCTCTCCATTGCCCAGTGGACATGAGGTAGCTGCTCTCTCTTACTGGGAATGCTGCATTGCCCTGCAGCCCACAGCCTTCACAGCTGATGGTCAGCAAGGCACTGTCAGCTCCTGTCTGTGACTGAGCCAACCCTTCCCCAGTTTCTTCCATCTAAACACTTCCCCTGGGAGCCGAGGCACCCAGAGATGAACTAGGATTCAAATGGCTGTCAGGCAGCTTGTGGTTTGCCAGGCACACTGGGTCATGTCTGCAATCCTGGCTATTTTGGAGACAGAGGTGGAGAGATCACAGATTGGAGGATAGTCTGGAAAACATTAGCCAGAGGAGGAGGGAAGGAGCTGGAGGTCAGAGGGAGAAAGTTGGAGGAAATCAGATCCATAGATGGGGTAACAATCCATCAACAAGGATGCAAAATGTGCTCTACGTGTCTCTAGTAGGCTGAGAAAACAAGGGGTGAAGGCAAAAGGAAGAGGTGGCTTTTGCCTCCATAAAGCTTTTCTTTTGAAAGAGAGTGTCTAAAATTTGAAGTTCCAAACTGGAACAATATTTCCCTCCCTATCTCCCTCCTTCTCTTCCTTCCTCCCTTCCTTCCTTGTGGTAGTACTGGGGTTTGAACTCAGGGCCTTGCAGTTAGTAGGTGGAAGCGCTTTCACTTGACCACACCCCCTGACCCTTTTCTGTTTCCGTTATTTTTCTTTGTTTCTGGACACCAATCCTCATAACTTCTGTCTCCTGAGTAACTAGGACTACAGAGGTGCACCACCACACCCAGGCCTGGAAAAACACTTTTAAGGAATGCTTTCAAGAAAAACGCATATGTAAAATGGAAGGGGTCCTAAGGAAAGCTGTCCTAAAGAGGTGGCATTTATGCAGCAATTCAGCACAGCATTCAGGCAAAAGACATATGGGATGGCACTCCAGACAGTGGGAACAGAGGAGGCTGTGGTCATTCTGGGAGGGGACAAGAAGTCTGTACAGCTTGAACAGTGTGAAGGAGGAAGGTAAGGAAAGAGAGTGCAGAGGTGGCAGAGCCAAATAACAGGGCCTTGCAGGCCCTGTTAGGACAGGAAGCATGGCTAGCTCATGAGTTCAAACTCCAGTACTGTCAGGAGAGAGGTGGGGCGAGAGGTCATGGCAGGAAGAAATCTGAGCCTTGAGGCTAGATAAGATGTTGTAAGTGGAAGGCTTCTGACAGATTTTTGAATGAGGAAGGTCCTTTGGGGCTGGTGTAAAGACAGAATCATGGGGTGACACTGGAGGCAGGATGGCCATGGAGCGGGGGGCTGGGACAGTGCCCTGGGTACTAAAGAGGATGGAGGCATGAGAATGAAGATGAGCACAGAAATTCAAGCAAGAAGGCCTGAGGTGGGCAGATGTCAAGGCCATCTCCAATAGACAGTGGTAAGAGGAACAGGTCTGGGGGGAAACTGGAAGATGTGTCTTGGACGCAACTTGGCCTACAGACCAGGCAACTGGCAGGT